ATGATATAAAGTATTAGGAATATAGTAACTAGGGTCTGCAAATTGGAGGAGAGAGTTATCAATGATAATGTTCTGACTTTGAAATTGAAGTTATCTCCCTTTAATCTTTTCTCTGTATTTTATTTTTAAATATACTTTTTCATCACAAAATTTGGTGAGTTGCAAGCAAATTTTCATTTTGAAAATGCAGCCCAGAGAAAAAAAAAATGTTTGGGAACCACTGCTCTAGTTAGTGGAAAAGGACAGGTGGTCATACTTTTTTTTCACAGATTTTTTATACCTCACTTACATACACAGTAAAATTCACTTTACTCTTCAGTGTTTTTTTTTTAATTCTTTTATCTAATTTTATTTACGTTTCTTTTTCCACAATGTTTTTAACTAGTCTTCTCCAGCAATCTTTATATGAAAGTCTCGTGTTAAGTGAATTGCTGAAGAATTTGGCTGATAATTTAGTTTGTGGTCATCTTCATGGATTCTTGGTTGTCTTGCAGTAATTGTGCCACATTTTTTGAATTTTTTTTTAACAAAGGAAAAAGAAAGAAAAATCTCTGGACATTGAGTATAGAGAAACAAAATTAGGATATATAATAAATATTTAGAACATAATAAGCAAGTAAACTATCCTAATTGTTAACTGCTTTTTCATTACTTAATTTCTTTTTGAATGTCTACTAATTAAATAAAAAATAACATTCATTTCAAACATAGTCTCAATGTTCCATAAATACCTTTAAGATGCAAATGCCTGAAAGCAGTTTCACTAAAAATGAAATAAAATTTAGTGTCCTTACATTTGCAGTTTTAATCAACATTTTATTATTCAAAATATATTTCTAAACAATCAATGGATTTATTTTTAATCCAACATTTTTATTCCTTTAAACATTATTATTAGTGAATGCCCACATTTGAAGTAGATGCCCAGTTTTTTATTTTAAATTGTATCACACAAATGATCTCTGCATTTGAGAAATCTTAATAAAGAAAATGTCTTTGGGGAACAAGTTGAATCTGCATCTACTTTTGTAGGGATGAAAAGAGGGTTTCTCCTACAAAGGGCATACAAGTTCAAACCCTGCCAAATAGCACATTTTCTTTATTAAAATTTCTTGAGTGCATAGACTGATAGATGCAATACAGAGTGTAAAATAAAAATGGGGCATCTATTTCAAATATGGTTATACACTAAAATGACATTTGTAATAATACATGTATATCTCTAAACAAGTTTGATTAAAAATAACTAGAAAAGTCTACCAGTTTAATTTTTTTTATATTTTTCTAATAATGTGTTGTGTATTGTGAGCAATATTATAGATGAAAGCTAATACAGACCTTATTGGAAAAAATAGACAAACTTTATCATTCCTTTTTAATCAAGCTTGATTTGCCTTTATAAAGTCTACAAGAGGATGAAATGTGCCAGTAAATAAAAGTTTTCCTTGTCTTTATACATATTGTCTTTTTACAGATATATTTATACCTATATATATATATATATATATATATATATATATATATATATATATATATATATATATATATATATGTGTGTGTGTGTGTGTGTGTGTGAAAAGTGTATATAAATATAAATAAATATATATATGTATAATAATTTTATATATTATATGCATGGTACTTATTAGAAAGCGCTCAAGCGTGAAACCCAGGGTCACAAACTCACATCTATCAACCAAAAATATATATATATATATATATATATATATATATATATATATATATATATAATCTTTTACATATCTTTTAAAAAAATTTTTTTCAATAATATGCGAATTATTCAACAAGTATATATTTTGAAATCTGATCTTTTTATAAAATGCTAATTTGCCAGTTAGTAAGAACGATTTTTATATTTTATGCAAATTTTAATTTTGATTATTATCAAAACATAGGTTGACTAATCTGATTTTAGTATTGCGTTAGACGCGCTTATCTCCCTTTCCGGAAAAGGTCCCGCAGAAAATGAAATAATTCTCATAAAATCTGAACTTCTTTATACATGAAATATAAGATCCCACTTTAAACTTCGACCTTGTGTCATATTCTGTACGAGTGGGTGTACAGATAAATACCTAAATATACATATTAAATATGAATTATTCGCGAAATATTAATGAAATAAATTACTTAATAATTCACAAAGTTTTGAAAGCATTTAGGATCATAATGAAGATAGAAATATTGGAAAGTTATTTCCCTCCAGAAACACGTTGTTAAACATGGCGATTTTGCAAGGAAGTAGTATTTTTGGTTGTAAGGGACATTACGATAAAATGGTTGTTGTTGGGTAAGTATAGTTCGTTTTTCTTTTTCTTTTTTTAAACATTGAAACTATGGAAAGCGGACTTCGATGTCTTAATAATATTGTTTATTGTTTTTTCCCCCCGAAATTAAATTATGAGAAGACCACAAAATAATGTCAGGGTGTGTCTGATCGGACATTGAAAGAAAGGACGAACGTAGATTTTTCGTTGCATTTTACAAGTTTAAGATTATTTTAAGTGTTGACTTATTAATGGATTGTATATCAGGGACTGATTCATTTAAGTAAACGATGTAGAATGATTACATATAAAATAAACTTCCAAAACATCGCATTTTCATTTATTTTTTAATGACCTATTCAAATGTTGCTACAAATGTCGATTACTACTATTGACTTAATTTAAAAATGTAATCTTCATTGATTCTGTTTGTTCAAAATAAATAATTCAAAATATGAATATTACTGGATGTTTGTCATGAAATGATGTGCAATGTCGTAGAGACATTTCTCGTCTTTTCTATTGTAAAAATGAAAGGCGCTACTTTGAAGATTAAGAAGAAAGAATTTAAAAATGTCATTTTTTATACCAAAGCTTTCATTGGGTTTTTACGACCTGACATAAAAAATAACGCAGAATATTTATTGAAGTTTTAAATTTATTATTGAAATTATTTTAAAAAATCAATTAATAGAAAATGGTTTAAAATTATCATTTGTAGATAATAAATATTTTGAAATGACATTTTTGACTGCTTTAAAAAATAAAATGGGATTCAGTATTGTAAATAAATTAATGTATTTGATTGAAAACTTTGAATCCTTCATTGTATGTTTCCAATTTAATTCTAATACAATTTTTTATCGTTCACTACGAAGAAGAAACATAACTTTTTTATATGTAATCAATTTGGTGTAAGAATTATTTTTTTTCACCAATCAACATTAAAAATATTGTTTTTGTATCTTTAAAATATTAAGAATATAGCAACCCTTCTTTTATTCAAAATAAAAAAAAATGTTTAAAAGTTTATAAACATTTCTATTTATTTTATTTAATTACTTTTCTTTTGTAAAAATATATATGAATTCTAGAAAAGTTGTCATTAAAAAGATTATTGGAATTAATAAAACCAAAATAAATGTATTTTTACAAAATTTTATTCTCCCCCTTTTTAATCAATGAATCGATTTGCTAGTAATAAATAAAAAAAAAGTTTTTCTGTCAATGTAAAATCAAAATGATTTTTTAATAAGATCACATTTGACTTTGAGTTTCCATTTTTGTCACATGAATATGAAAAAAGTATTATCAATGGTTTTAGTTATTTACTAAGCTTAGTTCTGTCTGACACAAGAGCATCTATTAAAGATGACTCACTGTCACTACTAGTCTTGTACTAACCCTTCTCTCACAGAGAGCTACTTAGAATTGATGGTTGTAATGAGGACATTTTTTGTGATCTTGTACAGAGTGTAAATAAATCCTGAATATTTTAAACTGATTAATAATGTATTTGGTTGTACATTTCCACAAAAATGTAAAAAGATTATTCATGTCTTCTTCCGTTTTAAAGTTTTGATTGTTTCATTCATACTTTTAGAATTATTGTCTTAAAAGTTTGACTATTTATTTTAAGATGTTAATATTATTTTTAAATATATAGTATGGCTTTACTAATTGTGTTAGTATGTAAATAGATACATTTATTTTAATTGAAGATAAGTGATCAACATTGTCTTTTTCTAATAAAAATATTTTATTGCATCTTAAGAAAATTAATTTTCTAGAACGTTAACAAAACTAAAAAGAAATGCAGATTGGAAACACTAAGTCTTATACTGAACTTCAAATAATTATCAATGATTGAAAATTCTTGTATAACAATATTTTATATAGAACAGCATTCATTTATAACAAACAATCTAGTGAGACTTTAATTTTGCCTATGTTTACTTTCACGTTGGAATTATAAAATCTCAATAAATGATTATCTCCCTTGATAAAATAGCTTGTGAATTATATATTTATTTTTAAAAGGTTCAATTGGCAGTTAATATCCACTTGAAATTACTGAAAATGTTGATTATTTCAAAAACAATTTGATATGAATGTGACAGTAAAAAACTGTAAGCCATATTACTAATTTTTTGCTTTTGAAATATGAAGTGTGATAGAATGAATATGCAATGTCAGTTCATTTCATTAAAAATAAAAATTAAAAATAGCTTGAAACTATGTGTGATTATCTTTCCAGATTGTAAAGCTATAAAAGGCAAGTGAAGAAATATGTAGATAAAAGAGAAAGCAAAAGGTAAGTGTGCTCACACACTTTGATCTGCTTTCTATTCCAGTTGCTTTGGAAACCACCAGCTGTGACATCTTCCGATGAAAAACTGGCCATGAAATGAGGAGGAAAAAGGAACCCCATATGAAAATCTCTTCCAAACCATAAATTGTGAAATTTTATATCCTTTAGAATGAAAATGATGTACACAGACAAAAAACATGTTTATATTACATTGTGTCCTCTTCGAACCATGAAACAAAACATATAGTACAAAACTGATGAAAGCAGTGCAATTTATTTTCTCTTTAATGAAACTACATTTAGTCTAAGTAATAGAAAGGGCCTCAGCAAAAAAACAAAACAAAATCATTCAGTATTGTCTTAGAAAACTTTCATTTTATAATTCTGTCTTCAACAAAATCTCATATTGTACTGTCTTGTAATTCATTTGGATCATACACCGGATTCATTGTAAAAGGAGGTGAAATTTTGCTTGCATCATCAAATAAGGTTTCCTAAAAAATAAGTAGGTTAAAAAGTTAGAATAGAATTTAGCACAAATAAGAAATTAAACAAATTAAATGAAAAATATTTCTTTTTATAGTTATGAAAGTTTTATAGTCATATTTTTATTTTGTTTAACTAATTAAGAATACTATCTTACTGATTACTAGTATAAAATTTTTTGACAAAATCAGATGTAATAGGATTTACTAAATTATAACATTTCTATAGATAAGGGTTTTTCAGAATTATTACCAAAATGACAAACCATATTATGATATAAAAGCAAAGTATAATATTCAACAGAGCATAAAACAATAATACTACTAGGTTTAAAAATCACAATATTATTTGACTTTTTAACTGATTGTAAACAATTTGCAGAAAACAAGTGTCCAAGTAGATATTTTAATCTATTATGAAGAAAACATCTGACATCTACAAGACATGTTGTATGTGAATGAGTGGATGTATGAAAGAATAATATTTCAGAACATCTGATGTTGTACAAGTAAGTATTAGAAAAAGAAAGAAAGCAATGTACTTGCTTGGTTTATATTTGAGCCAAAGAGAGGATTATCAAAACCACAAACATTGCTTGCCTCTCCAATTTGACTGTCATTTGTCAAGTAATCCAATTTTCCTGATTGCCGCTGATTAAAATATAAATATTAAGAACAAATGACAAATAGGTAAGTAAAGATAGTTTAATCATTCTTTTTTTTTTTTTGTTTTTATTCTTTTTTCCAGAATGATATATACAATTTAAGGTTACTGAGATATGAAAGAAGTTTCACTAAGACTTTCTGAAAAGTTCTTCCTGGAACTTCAAATCCTCAATGAAATACCTAATCAGGGAATATATGGCAATGAAATTGTCCCATTTTTTTCATCTAGTTTCACACCACTCATTAACCTTAAATTTTTATATCCTGGATTTTTTGCATTTATTTTCTATTTTTTAGCCAACTTTAAGTGAATATCTTATTAATGATTAATTTATTACTTGCAGTGTCCTGTGTGATATTGGCCTGGTTAAAAGAAACTTCATCAGGTAAAGTAAATATATAACTTTTTCTTTCTTTTTCAACTGAAAGCAAATTTACTGTTAGTGCTAGTTTTAACAAAGCAATAAATCTAAAATTATTGTGCTATACTAACTTAATGACATTTATAAAGAATATAAAAACAATGATGTGAACTGAATTAAATGTTATTAAAGAATCTTTCATAGTTTTCTTTTCTTTTTTTTTCTTTTTTTCAGATTAAAAATGGAATCCAACAGTTAACACCAGAATAAAACATGGGTTTTATTAAAATGAGCAGTGAATTATTTTAACTCTTGCTATAATAACAAACCCAAATCATAATTTGTTAAAAAAAATAAAAAAAATTAATAAATGTTTGAATTAAAACTATTTTGAAATTACATCAGAAGTTAAACCTTTAAAAATACTGATGGAAAATGTAATTTGATTGTATTGAATAATGTAGTATAGAAATAAATTGGGTTTCAAAATAAGAGATATATTGATATTTTGCTATTATTAATAGTGAAATGATAGTTTACTCACAGTTCTTGTTCCATACATTGGATTTTGAAAGCCTCCATCATTGTCTAAAGTAGCATTTGGAAGATCTTCCATTGGTACTGAATCTTGGTTTACAAATCTCTTATGGAGGTTGGCAACAATTTGATTTCGTCTTACATGATCAACAAAGTTACTTCTAAAAATAAATTAAAAAGTATTAATTAACATTTTAATCAAATCACAAATCCTGAAACTGCCTCTATTTTGGTCATTTGCAAGCAAAAATTGGAAACAAAAAGAAATTATAAAAAAGTTTATAATATTAAAAATTAAATTTATAAGAAAAAGAAAATAGCAATATTAACATTTGTTTTCATTAAAAGAAGTCGGCCCAATTATTTTAATCAATGTGACATGATTCTTCATTTGGATTAGATTATTTTTCTGAATAATTAATTTATAACTGAAATTAATTTCTCTTGTAATATAAAACCCAAATAAAATTCAGCAAATCTATTAAGTTTACTGCATATTTCTGCATGGATCATAACTGCTGACCATAAAGTGAAACATTGGTAAGGGCTATTCTTTAATTGCTGAATTTTCTTTATTCATGTTTTCCCAAATTTATTTAAAGTAATTCTGATTTATTTTTATTTTTATTTTGCAGGTTTCATTTGTTAAAAAGAATATAGAGCAACATTTAGACATGTGAATATTTAGAGAAACATTCTATTCATTAATATTAGGTTTATTTCAGATTTGCTCACATACAGCAACATTTTATCTTTTGCTGATTTAAAAAAAAAAAAAGAAAAAAAAGAGAGAAAAAGAAAAGGAAACCTAAAAATAATAAAATCACATCACTATCAGTGATGGACTCACATATTCCCTCTCCTGTAGAGGATGAACACCAAAATAATCAACACTTGTAATGCCAAGCCTCCGAGAATTATTTCCAGGATTCCAATGTCTGTTAAGCCAGAAGCTAGATAATCAATGACAAAAACAAGACTTGTAAGTTTAAATATTATGTAACAATATCTATTCATATTTTTCATGGTCTGTTTCTTGTAAGGAAAAAAAAAAAAAAAAAAAAAAAAAAAAAAAAGGAAAGAAAGAAAAAAGGAAAGAGAAAAAAGGAAAAAAAATTTAAAAAATACAAACACACATGCAAACAAAACAGGGACAAACATTAGATTATTTATTTTGTATACAATTGATTGACAGGATGCTGGCAAATGTAAGTATAACTGTTGCAGTGTCAAGAAACTGAAGAATGCACTTCCTGGAGGAACATTATGAGGTAAACTGAGTTCTTCTTTATCTTTTAATATTACCTCCATCAATACTAACAAAGTACATTATTAATACAGTTTTTATTTATTTCAGGTGCCTTACATTGAAAAACAAGGAAAATACTTCCATTAAAATAAAAAAAAGGTAAAATAACTAAAACTTTTACCACAAATTATTTCTTGCTTTTATTTAGAATATATATATGAAGAGTAAAAGAAATATTTTAGAAAGTGTATATCATAAATTATAATTGTGGATCCAAATATGATTGTCAGATAACCTGTGCTTAATTGACTAGCTACAATTCTAATAAAACCATTTTTAAAGAGGGCAAAAAAGAATGAAACCACCCTAAAAGATGGTGAATTTTCAGCAATACTCACATGAGCATTAAAAAAAAAAAAAAAATACAAAAAAGGTAACAGAAAAAGAAACAAGATATGGTTTAACCTGCCATACAACAAAAATGGAAAAACAAATGGAGAAAATATTCATTAAACTCATGCACATCTCTAAGCATCCCTCCAAGATATATTCAATAGAAACACAGTAAAAATTAACTACAGTTGCACTGAGAACATGACAAATAATAAAAAAGCACTGCAGAAAAATAACAATCAAACCAGCTGCACAAATCAAATGCACTTGTAACTGCAAAGCAAAGGACAAATATATTTCACTCATTTTCATGCCAATGTATAAGCAATTTAGTCAATACAATAAAATATATAAATACATATACAATACAAAGATTTTTTTCTGTCTGTTCTAGCGTGATTGTTCCCAACACAACACATGCCCTTTTGTATCTGCTTGTAATAATTGTAAACTTGACCTCAACTAAGCTGAGTCTATTTGCTGATAGAATGAGGCACCATAGATCCTCTAACAAGCTTGGGTCTTGTGATTACTGGCAACTCTGTAATGGTGGTGTTCTATCACTCCTCTTCACTCAATTTCAGGTGTTAACATCTACTCCTGACTTATCTGGTGTAGTATCTTTATCTGACTTTCCACTTAGAACAGAGTCTCTATTGAGTGATAAGCATATAACTCCATCCATGGTTTCTGGTATCATTTTTAAAACAGATCCTCACAAATCATGTAGTCCTCTTCTATAGTTCCAGTCTTTAAGAACTGATTGAATTGTCTGATCCTTCTATTAGTCTACCTATTTTTGGCAAAGTACTAGAGGTTCTAATCAACACTGAATCAGCAAACATCTCACATTGCAGGGTCATCTTTCAAATAAGAAATACAGCTTTCATTTCTCTAAGTCAACTGCAGGTGCATTAACAATTATTGCCAAAAGAGTTTATCAAGCTTTAGATAAGAATCATGAAGCTCAGACTGTTGCTTTGGATATCTCAAAGGCATCTGACAGCAAGTTGAAAGGTTATAGTATTTCTGGATGAATTTTTGAACTGATCCAGTCTTTCAGTCAAATTGTGAAATAAAAGTTGTCTTGAATGGGCACTCTTCATTAATGCAGGTGTCTCCCAGGGCTCTATGGTTGGTCTTACATTGTTCCTAATTTAAATCAACAACGTACCTAATGTTATTATTACTTTGTATCTACGCTGATGACAACTCTTTACTATTGTCTTAATAGTAAGTCTGATCAGTTCGATAAGGTCAAATTGGCAGCTGATCTAAAAAATTATCTACAATCTTTTGTTGATTGGGGCAAGGAATGGCCTGTTGATTTTAACACCTGCTAAACAAAACTGTTTTATTTTAATGATCTCAGAGAAGCCTTTTTTGCCTTCCATTAGTATGGTTGATGCTAATGTCTAGGAGAGTGTCTCACTGTCTTCTCAGGCTAAATTTTTTTGGTGACATGAAGTGGAAAGATTATATTGAATCAACTGCTAGGAAATTTGATTCACAGTATCATACTAGATGATTTTTCTTGCCCAAATCTATCTTACACATTAATAAGCCAACCATTTGTTCATACATTGAATATTGATGCCACATCTGGTCTGGTGCTTCTGCTATACATTTAGAGATTTGTGATAAAATTCAAAGAAGAATCTGCAGTGTCATTGGTCTTGACTCAACATTTTGGCTTCAGTCACTTTCCCATCACTGTAACTTAGCTTTTCTGTGCCTTTTTCTATAAATACTTTCATGGTAATTATTCTGATGAGCTTTGCTCTTTGCTACAGTTTTCACCTGGCATCTTGGCTTCAGTCACTTATAACATAGCTTCCATGCGCCTTTTTTTAAAAATATTTCCATGGTAATTATTCTGATGAACTTTCCTCTATAGTACTTTATTTATGAATTTAAGTGCAGTACTAGATTGTTGGCAAGATCTTTTTGCAGTTAGAATAGCTAGATGTCACCGTAAGTTCTATGCTAACAGTTTCTTCTCCTGCACTTCTTGCTTCCTAGTCAACTTTGATCTTTAAAAATTTAAATGCAATGTCAATTGTTATCTTCTGTTCTCTTAATTTGTTTTTTTTTTTATTGTTCTCCCTCCTTAATAGCTTCTTTTTTCACATATTATCTCACATCCACTAACTCCACTGAGTTTTAATGGCTTTTTGCCTTGTTTAGGGTAAAATATTAAAAACAAAGTAACAAATGGCAATTGCTTGCAAAACAATATAATATACCAAGCCACTGTAAAATAGCAGATAATGAAGAAAAAAGAGTAACCGAAGGACCTTGGAAACAGAAACTACACACACAAAACATCCTTTAAAAATAGTAAATATGCAAACAGCACAACCCTTTTTAAACATATATAGAAAATTAAAAACAAAAAAAAATATCATGGAAATATGAAACACAGCATCAGCCTACAACAATTATATTACTTAATAATCGAGACCTAAAAACGAATACCTTGTAAAATACCACTATGATAAATGCAAATATATGCATAATGTACACTGTAGATAATGCAACATACTTTAGACTAAACAAATGATAACCCCATAAAATAAACAAATTAACACTCTATGCATGCACACAGAAACACAAGTAAATATAATAACAATCAACAAAAGATAATTAAGTAATCATTAAAAATGTTTAAAAAGTTAAACATATACACTAGCTACAAACAGCAGCATTCAGATCCACAATTATTTCTACTCAATAGCCTCTAGAATAGTTTGGAATGTATCCATTAACACCTACCCAATAACCACTAGGATAATAAAATAAACCTCACTGCCCATGATACACCATTGACCAGCATTTACAAATAGTTAAGCCAACACACAACACATGGCCTGAACATTGTATTCAACCATGAAACAGTGCCAATGCTTGGTATTGACCTTAGTCCACTTTGCAGGCATAATTTTCTGAAAAAGGAATCAAAACTGATAATTTCAGGGAAAAAATAGCCATGCATAAATTTTTGCCCCTCCCTCCAAGAAATTGATTTTGAACTGAAGTTGCTAGGAAAAAAATCTTTGTAGACTGACTGGTCATTAAATTTTTCTATGCTCACAACTGTGAGCTTGTTATGCACACAAAATCTTTAAGAGCATTTTCTAACTTGTATTTGTTTCTGGGCACTGAACAAGACAGAAGTTTGTCTAGTGCAAATTTCTTTTCCTTCAGAAAACTTGAAACCAGCAACTCATTATCCTTGAACCAATCTTGATATTCTTAATGTGTGTACACACACAGACATGTGTGTGTATATATATATATATAGAGAGAGAGAGAGAGAAAAAACATTCCCTGTCAAGTCAACCAGCAATTTTTCAAATTGACACACCACTGCTCATATTTTTACAGTAGTCAAATACACTAAACAGAAAAGTATATTCCAAGTTATAGCTTCTCAAAAGGACTGGAACATTTTTCATTTCAATTCAAAATTTAAGGACTAGACAACAATACATCTCAAGGATCATTGAATTACATATTCCAAAGGCCTTTGACAAAGTGTGGCATAGAGAGTTGCTGCAAAAGCTCTCCCACTATGGAATCACTGGGAGAGTTTTTTTCAATTTTCAAGTCCTTCCCAATGAGTAGGTCCTTGAAGCTAGTTGTTAATGGCCAGTCTGTCAAGGCCCAAGTGATCAACACAGGCATCAAGGCTCACTTCTCAGCCTAACTCTTTCTACTTTACATTAATTATCTGACTAAAAGCATAGTCTGATCTTTTGTGAATTTCTGATGATGATGAAACAATGGCATATTGGTGCACCTCCCAAATCCTAGATGACCAGAGCTTGGCAGTTGATCTCTCTACCCTAACTCTAACAGCTCAGTAGAGAGAGTGAACATTATTTTAAAAAGTGGGTGTTCAGGTTAGGCAAAATAATATACAGAAGTATCAATATTTGTTAGTGCACCTTTTAATCAAATATCATTTAACTTTAGAACCAAGTTTGAAATTGGCTGAAGAAACAATGGCTTTAAGAGTTTTAGAACCTAAGAAATAAAGAAAAAAAATTTGATTAGAAAAGCCCTTGAGCTTGGGAAGTAGCAATTTTTTTATTTTTTTTTATTTTAAGGGAAAGCTTTCTCACTGAACTTTCAAATTAGAAAAAAGTAACTGTGTTGCAATGCAGTGAAAACTAAAATGTTTTTTTTCTGGGCAATCACTGGTTTGTCTTTGAAAAAAAAAATGTAATAATTAGCAAATTGCATATGATACCTTCATAGATTATGCTGTAAAAAAAAAAAAAAATCAGCATATTTTGGTAAAATTTCTATGCATAAACATATACTTTTGATAAGGGCCATTTATGTTAAAGGTTTAATATATCTCAAACTC